CTTGTAGTCACACTTGGACTTGGAGGTGGAGTTTGATTCGGAGTAGTGGTTGGGCTTGAGCCTGGATTTGTACTTGAGCTTCCATTGGGGCTTGTATTTGTGGCCGTGTTTATAGCCGTGTTTGGAGATGTGTTTGAAGGCAAGTTTTGAGATTGGCTTGAACTTAATGCGAAAAGTAAAATTCAGATATTGAGATTATGCAATATAGTATGATCGAAGTATTACACTAAAGAGAGTTTACAATGTATGTTAGAGAAAGCGAAAAAATTAAAATTTTAAGATCACTTACGAAGTTGAAGTCGCATCTTGTCTTTTATGAATAAGGTTTTCTTCTGGTGGATAGCTCGATGCAAGTCCAACTAAGATGGTAACAAGAACGAAATTCACAAATAATTGCTTATATAACATGCGCATTTTTTCTTAAATTAATTTTTTTTTGTTTTTTAATTTATTGACTTATAAGGAGAAGGCTAGGAATAATTTGAACACTTAAGATTTGAGGACATTAAATTGGATGGGAAAAAAAATAAAGGATAATGCAACGTTCATAAAAAGAATCTTAAGAAAAAAATTACAACCGTCGCATGAAGTTCTCAAAATCTAAAATTTCTCCCTATTTTATCATGTTTCAAGTAACACGAACCAAATGTTCAGCGAATGCTGTGGACATGTTATGTACAGCATTAGAGCAAAGTCTGACAGGGGAATCTTCTTGTGAACATGGATTTTTGAACACAATATCTATTTTGCAGGCTTTAAAAACTAAAGAAAATAAGGAATATTTTAGTGCATATCTAGTTAGATCCGATGGATCGTTGATTAATAATTCCTAAATTTCTAATAAGCCCCAAGTTCATACAAAGTGCATCTATTAAGTTTTAAAAATGGATACTAATTACTAAAAAAAAAGACTGCAGAAACAAATTAATATTATGACGATTTCGCTTATTTACTATTAAAATCCTTAAATCATAAAATCTAAAAATACAAATTATTGATACTGTATTATTTTATAATTTATTAACAGTTTATTTAAAATTTAAATAAAAAATTTTTTTAATATAAATTATATTATAGGTACAATATACAATATATTATAAAATATTTTTATATAACTATTTAATATAATTATTTAAAAATTTTTTAAATCATTTTAAAATATATAAATTAAATTTATATAATATACAGTGTATTGCAAAAAATTAACAATTATATTTTATTTATAATTTAACCAAAATTTAAATATAATTAAATAAATATAAAAATTATATACAATATATAAGTTATAATTCAAATATTTAAATTCTAATTAAATCAAGTTAAACTTTATATAAATAAAACTTGTAATCTTTTTAATAATTATAAAATTGAAAACAAATTAAAAAAAAAAGTTAACTCTCTCCTAATCATGTTTACTTTGTTAAAAAATTTTTTTTTATAATAATTTTTGTTAAGAAAAAATGCTTTATACTCTTTATTGCAAGTAAATCCCAGCTCAGAAACTCAAGAACCTTCAAGACAACTGGTGCAGTGAAATGGGACCTCTGGTTGAAGTCTATTTAAGTTTGGGAGTCTTGCTTATCCTTTGGTTGCATGAGAAAATATTTGTGGCAGTTTTCTTTTCTTTTGTTCTCTTGCATCTCTCTTTATCCTTATTTTATTATGAAAACCATATACATTATCACAATTATACTCACTAAGTCAATTACTTTCCAAAAAACATATTCAAACAGAGTTATTTTAATCAAAAACAAAATCAAAAAATATTATTTTTATTATATATACTTTGTTAAGATATTTTAAATTAAAGATTTTTTTTTGCTTTATAATACAGTTAAATCAATATAGATTTTTTTTATAGTTTTTTTTATATTGACAATATTTATTTTCAAAACATTAATATTGATTTTTATAAATAAATAATTATTTTTGAAGGTAAACTAGAAATTTTTTGAATATAATTCTAAAATTTATATTATATATGTATTGTTTAAAAGTTAGATTTGAAAAAATCAGATTTTTTTTTTTATAATCAAATAAGTATTTATTATATTTATTTAATTATTGAAATTAAAAATACAATATATTAATACAAAACTTTTATATATAAACTAAGCTAATACTTGAATACCTATTATAAATTACTAATTTCTAAATATAATATTGGAGATAAATAAAATTGTTTATTCATCTTCTCTATTCCTAAAAGGATTTAAGTTTATTGTTTATAGTTCATTACTATAGTTTATCTTAGCAAGATCTTAATTACATTATATTTCTAATTACTTGATTTTTTCTTTTATTTTGTTTTATAAGATTTTCATAAAGATCTTTAAAGCTATAATACTTTTAATCAATAAATTTGTGTTTGTCAATATTACTGTTATCTCTTTTTCTTTCTTCTGTAATCTGAATTTATTCTTGCATTTGAATGCTTTTTTTGATATTTTCAAGTTAAAATTTATTTCATTTTTTTTTTGTTTGTGATTATAAATTTTTTTATATTTTATATTTCAGATTTGTTGGCAAAACTCTTTATTTCAAACTTGTGATATTTTGTTTAAAATCTTTCAAGCTACTATTTTATGTATTTTAAGTATATTATATATATTTATTTATTCTATAATTTCTTTTTTTATTTACAATCTTATACTAATATTTATTATTTCTTTTGCTAAGAATAATTTTTTTCATTTTTCACTTCTTTACTATCTTGTGAATTGGTATTAGATTTTATTTTCTTTGTTTTTTTTAATATACTTTATAATTCAATATATATATAGCTTGTTAAGAATATTCTTTTATATTTTGTCTTTCTCTTTTTGAAATTTATTATAGATTGTTAGATAATCTACTGTTTCTTCATATTTAAAACAAAAGATATATTTAATATTTGCTAATAGTTCTTAAATATTATATTTAGCTATATTGTCTAAAATTGACAGTTTATTATATATAAGTTTGATTTTAAATATTTTTTCTTTTATCTATTTGAATGAGGTAATTAGTAAGCTCTTATTATTGTTAAAACTTTTTTAATTAACTTTGTTATAGTTTTATATATCTTTTTTTCATTACTATTAAATTTTGTTAAAAAATATCTATTGTATAAAAATTTCTCTCTTGTTAATATCTTTAATGAATGCTTTAATCAAAATATCAATAAAAATATTATTCTATTTTAATATTGGAATTGAAATTATTTCTAACAATGATTTCTATTTGATCTTTGGTTCTTTATTTGTTGCTTTGATTAACTAATCTGCTTGATTATTTAATGTGTTTTTACAGTAGATTTTAATTTTGATAAGTTTTAGTTAAATTATATTTCTTGTAATTGTATTTATTAATTTTAATCACATCTGCCAATTTAATATTTTTATTTGTTTTCTTAATATTTTCTTGGGATAAAATTTGCTTAGCTTTATAAAAATGTTTATACAGTTGGCCCTATCTATTTTGATTTCAACACTTTTATTGTTTAATAGAATTAGTACTACTAAGGAAATTGCTACTAGTTTGAATCTTATTAAAAAGAATTAGTTATTAGTTTCTACTTGAAATGTTTTTTCTGGATTTGGTTTTTCTGTTTGGAGCCATACTGCTTTCATATTCATAAATTGATTTGATGCTTTGTCTATTATTCTATTTGTATAAAATTAATAAGTATTCTTATAGTTTTTATTCACATTAAGCTTATATTCTAAATATAGTTTTGTTTGGTATTTTTCTAATTCTATATTTATATACTATAGTTTTCTATTTCTATATACTGAAATTTGGATGAGTTTATATTGTTGGAACAAAGTTTTTTCAGTTTTGTTTTGGTTTGACTTTTCAATATACTGTATAAGTTTCAATTAGTATTATAACTTTTTACTTTTTCTATATTTGAAAATCTTATTTATTCAGTTAAAGAAAAGTATAAAATTTCTATTGGTTAGCTCTTGATTTGCTTTAATATTTGTAAATTTGGTTATACTTAAATCTTTTTTTGTTTCAATCTAAAAGTATTTTGTGTCTAAATTGTTTATTACTTATATATTTCTGCTTTTGAACCAGAACAGTTTTTGTTCTTTATTATTATTATTAATACTTACTTGCTAATTCCATTTCCTATAATCTATATTTTTATTGGATATAAAAAGTATTTTATTTTGAAATGTTCAATTTTATCTTATTCATTTTTGCATAAAAATATTATATTTGTTTGTCAAAATTTATTTAATAATTTGATATTATATTAATATGGATTCTTGTTTTTGATTTTATAGAAATTGTAATATTTTCTAATTTAAAAGCATATTGTGTTTATTGTTTATTGGCTGGTTTATAAATATAATATTGTATTTTTTCAGAAATTTTATTATTTTGCTATAAAAGAAAAAATTATTTAGTAAAGTTTTGATTATTACATGTTCTTTTTTTTATTAAAATATAATCATTTATTAAAAATATGAAAATATGAATTCTATTTTGAGTATTTATGTTAAAAGATTTCTTTTGTAGTTATTTCTGGGGATATCTTTGATATGAAGGTTTGTTAACTTCCAATATTATATTTGTTCTTGTTTGAATCTAATTAGAATAAATTTATATAAGTTATTATAGTTGTTCAATTAGTTTATAAAGTTGGTAACTTGATTCTTTAGTTGTATCTTCTATATGTTTTTGTTTTTTTTTGTTTTTTTTTCTAGTAGGTAAACATTATTTTTTTATTTATTGGTATTATATTTAAAGTTATATACATATATAAAAGAAACAATATCTCTTATATATGAAAATGCAATAAGTTAAATGCTAGCTTGCATACATATCTATACTTAGCTAATATTAAAAAAAAATTTTAAAACAATATTATATATATTAAATATAGCTAAATAGTGGCTATTGCCTACTTACTCAAAGTTTTTTGATTGGATATAAAATAAATAGGAAATAAAAGAAATTTTTTTTTTAAAAAAACTGAAGCTACAATAACATTGGCTACTGAAATTAAAACCAAGTCATCTAAACTATAAAATCTATGTAAACAAAAAGAATATCTAAAAAGTGGCCAATAGTCTAGCCCTTGCACCAGTGCTAGTTTTAGAAATATAACCCTTGTTAATATAAATAGTAGAGTATAGATGATGTTGTTTGTTATTGTGGTAATTGTTGTTATTATTGTTATGTTAAAAAACCAGTTTAAACAGGTTTAGTTTTTTTTTATTGTTTTGATAAAATCTGATTAGATAATTGAAAAGTAATGATTATCTAAAGAGGATAAGCTAATTTCAGTTTTTTGAAACAAAATTTTTGAAGATTTTGGAATAGTACAATAAATAGTGCCATAATAAGGTTATATGTAAAGGTTGTATTAAAACAAACAATAGATTCAAAAACATTGTTTGAGTGTATTTTTTGAAAGGTAT